GTTCAGCAGTGATGCCAGGAGCTAAGACATGGCACTTGTAATCACAAAAAATGACAAGTACAAATAGGTGAATACACACACACATGCACATGATATGGTATATCACTGTAATAAGCTACATCAGTCAAGCAAGTAGAACACTCTTGAAAAAAGTAAAAATGTTCAAAATTTCTGTCTTACACAGTGTAATTTTTCAACACATTGCCTGTCTCCCAGCGAGGCAGGGTGACTTAAAAACAAAAACAAAAATTTTTCTTTATACATTTAGTAATTTATGCTGGAAGACGGATTACTAGTCCCCTTACTTCTGGCATTTTAGTCACCTCTTACGACATTTATGGCTTATGAAAGAAGGATTCTAACCCACTTCTCCATGAGAAACATAGTTTACTATACTGTACATATATTCACACAGATCAATGAAGTATAAAATTTTTATGTGAAAACTCACTTGGCAACATGACCTAGTTAATATTTTTGTAATATTAAATGATTAATCTCAAGTAACTTGTGTAAGGTCAGCCTGCATTTAATTAGTATTGTTAAATATTACTGAAATTTCTGTAAATGTATATAATAATTTCTGTAAACCAGTGACCTCTGTCGAGTTACAGCAACTTTGAAAATATACTGTATATGTTCTTTGACAGATACTACAAAAGATTGATTTATTGTTAAAAAGCACTACACTGTATATATATATATAATATATAATATATATATATATTATATATTATATATATATATATATATTATAATATATATATATATATTATATATATAATATATACATATGCATATAATATACATGTATATATAATATATACACACACACTATGTAAATTATGACCTATTATCAGTCTGAATTTTAAATATTTATGAAATTTTATGTAATGTATTTCAGTACTGTACTGCCATCATAAAATTTATGGTGTTCCTTTAAAGTTTGCAGTTTCAGGGTGTTTGGGAAAATTATTTTGATCAGATGGAAAGTTCAGCTAGTCAGGGTATCAGATATGATTCAATTTCACTGAACTGTCTGTTTGATCAAGAACTTCTTTTCTGAACTTTCCCTTGGTAGACATGTAACATGCGGGTAATGGCCTATCAATACCGTAACCGCAAAACCATCAATACATCCTCACCGCAGTACCTTTGCGGTCCAAACACTGTCCAGCCCGCAGCCGCATGTTGTTGGCCTGCAGCCCAATTTTCCAGTTGAAAATGATGTACATGTGAATAGTATCTTGAGAGAGAATTCTTGGAAACCCCTTAAATAAATATAGTAGTCATGAGTTTACCAAAGTGAGACTTTTCACCTCAGAACTTTTACATTCAACCAGTGTACTTAAAGCATGTTTTATAACCATAAGGGATCATCAAGAATTCTCATTTGAGAGGAAAATTTATAGCCACTTACCTCTAGTGCATGATCAGTTTCAGATGACTTTGATACCATTTAATCAGTTTATCATTTTAACCCCCCTATAGTTATTGGTATTAAAAATATATCCTGAAGAGTGGTGAGTGAGATATAATGGGGTTTTACTCATCATTTGTCTCATTTACTCTGAGACAGTAAATCACTCCCACTCTTAAAATTTTCCCTAATTAAATCTGTTTAAAACCAGAGAGCCTCCCCCCAAGTGCAGGCCTTGTCTCTAGAAAAATACAAAGAGCTGTTGTGTGTTCTTTGTATCATCATGTGTGCCTTCATTCTCTTCAGTTTTTATCTTTGCCTGTCATAAAAATATGACGAGATTTGGGATTTTGAGCTTATAGTGATAACTCCACAAAGTTCATTTTATACCTTTTCCCCTTTTTAAATAGGAAAATTTAGCCATCTGGGATCACTGACTAAAGCTCAATTTTCATCATCCCGTCAAAATTGTGGCATAGTTCATGAAAAGCATACCATGGATCTATGACCAGTTCTCTAAAGCCTTGTTCACATAATGCACTTTTTTATTGCAACATGTTGCCAAGAATTTGTGATCATATTTGTTACTTTTTTATATAAATTAAACAAAATTATGTAATGTCTCAGGCAGCATAATGTAGTAAGAGAATGCATTTTGGAAACAAGACTTAATGTAGCTACAACACAGCCTTTATGCTGTGTACGAGCTGACAGTTGTACACTGAACTGCCGTGTGGGATGTCAATGTTTTATTCAGATATGAAACAGTGGCATGAATGATTTGTCTGTCAGTATATTGTATAAACCTAACATGCCAAATTGAGACTTTTTGATGTTTCTGGCTATTCCCCTCTTGTAAGTAGCAATCAATCATTCCTAAATTATGATGAGGTATTTCCAATAAGCTGTTTCCATGTTGTTGACTGTAGGTGATATTAAAATGGAAGGTTTAAAAAAATATATAAAATTCATGATTTGTTAGGGGCATAAACATCAGTTATTATCAGGTGATAGATCCTGTCATTTTAAAAAATTGTTTTATGGTTCATCAAGAAAAAATTATGGCCATATTGCTTCAAC